AAAAAAAAGTGTGCACAAACTAAAATCTCATGCTAACAAACACACAGCTGTACCAAATCTTAGGTGAATTTGCACTTAGGAGCAACTATTATGTAATAAGTATTTATATATTTTTAAGAAGTGTATATAGTTGTCAGAAGAGTATTTACTCTTCAGGTTAGCATTCTGCCTGCTGGCAAGCAGTCGGTCTTCAACAAAAAGATTTTGAAGATGTAGGTTTATAGTATTAGAGAGCTTTACTAACAGTTGATTGCAACTATATCCATTAGATTCTTGGAAAAAAACATCCATGAAAACACTTGAGTCGCATCTTTAGTCCCTTGTGAAGAGTGAGGGAAAATGCACTGAACTCCATGTTCCCAATGGAGCACATCTTTCAGCATGGCCCTTCCTGTGAATGTATTATCTTCTCCTTTTTGTTACCTCTTTCTTTTACTTGGGCTCAGGTATTGAGGGAAGTGATGATGAAGCCCTGGGGACAGGGGAGCAGGATGAAGAACTCAGTAGATGGGAGCAAGAACAGATACGGAAAGGAATCAACATACCTCAGGCATGTATTTAGTTGTGAACCTTTTTTCCATTTTTACATATGTTGGCTAAATCCATTGTGAACTTGTCTAGTTTACGGAGGCAGTTTCACCAGGGATGATTGGTGTGGAATTTCTGATAGACTTCAAAAGGAAGTGAGAATTCACATTTTAAGTGTCGGCAGTGTTTCTTTTAGTTTCTCTCTGTTCCAAATGGGGTATTGATCACTTTTGTGCTGTTAACCAGCGCTTGTTTGCAGCTTAGAATAGAGCTAGAATAATGCCGCTTTGAAAAGGCTTTTGTTCTTGTTTACCAGTGTGTTTATAGAATCTGTGCTGTAACAGCATATGCTTCTTGGCTGTTGCTGGTATTGCAGCATAAACATAGAGCTGAAATTTGTACCAGCTTCTGCCATATGTCTGTGCACTTCATTTTACTTATGGTGATAATTACATTAATATATATCTGCTTACATTTTTCATTTTGCAAGATTGATGTGAAATAACTTTCCTTTTTCCCCTTTAAAGTTAAATGTAGTGTCATTGCATGCCATCTTTCTATAGGTTCAACCAAGTCAGCCTGCTGAAGTGAATAATCTGTACTACCAGAACACTTACCAGACACTGTCCTATGGTTCATCGTATGGCATTCCATACACTTATGCTGCGTATGGATCATCGGAAGCCAAGTCTCAAAAAACAGATAATACGGTTCCTTTCAAAACTCCCAGTAATGAGATGACTCCTGTTACTATTGATTTGGTAAAGAAACAGCTTAAAGACAGGTAGGACAGACCATCTTTCTAGACTTAAAGACCTGTCCCCTAGCTTTCTGTTCCTCAGGCACCTTTTAGTGTCGGTGAGCAAATGCAGAGTTTCATCGCTGGAAAAGTACTGACTGGCGCATCCATTAACAAAACAAAACAAAAAAAACCAAA